TAAAACTTTAGTGAGTGATTGTAGAGCACCTCTATTAGCATTTGTTCAACTAGAAAGGGAAACCTCATTTCCATACAAAAGTCTTTCAGATGAAATAACAACTCATGAAAGTTAATACTAAAGAGATACTAGTTCTAAAAAGATGATGCATATTTTTTTTAATTAAAAGAGCATTGTGTAATCAAAGCCAAATTCCTTCTTTTGATCAAAGGCAAGTTTTGTTTTTGTTTAATATCAGCATAATTCTACATTTGTGTGATAATTATTTAAAGCTACTATCTCCTATGTGAGAAAAATAGCTGGATATTATTATCATTTACAGCTCTATATATAAATAGCATATTAGAAAAATTAAAAATTAAGATCAAATTTTAAGACCACACATTTTCACTTAGACATATGTACTAAAAAACAAAGATTCCCCATTTTAAAGGATTACTCACTAAAAAATATTTTTCAAAAAAGTTGAATATCTACATGAGTTTCCCTAGCCATGTGAAAGGACCAGTTTTATGAATCCATCATTTCCCAGTTTTTTGCAAAAGTTTTGGGTTTTTTTCACAGACCAACAGGTTGAATTTTACCTTTTATTACCCCCTGTCTGATGTATGCTAATTACCCAGCAGTGAATACTCACAACCAAATTATGAAAAATATGTAGTGCAAAAACCAATGTGAAATGTTGTCAGAGCTATAAATAAAACTAAACTATGTTCAAAATATCAAAGGAAAGTTGAATATAAGATTTATAGAGATGAATAATGCTTAGCCCTTAGAAATCTCTATTTTATTGAAGTAAAGCCCATAATTCTAAACACATTCTTTGTCTTCTTATGCCTGTGTATGTATGCAATGTCTGCTTACCTCATTTCTATGTCACATCTATAGAAAACCAAAGTTGAATTTTCTTTATGAGAGTGAAGGGACTGAAAAGAAAAATTGTAAAAAAGCATGTCACAAACACTTGCCAGCAAGTAGCTCATAAGAAACTACTAGTAAGTAAATCATAATAGTAGTCACAGGATATGTTTATGTGCTGGGCTTTGCAGGGAGGAGTTTCCCACAAAAATATGCTGCAAAAAGCAGAACCAAGAGATGGTCAATGGGACCAGAAGAAAAGAACATTACACAACATTCTAGATGGAAGTGCAGCTGGTCATATCATATCATAACTGCTCTAGGACCTTGACACATTAGCTTTTTATACTTTAACTCTTTAAGCCAGGTCACTATTTAGAGACTGTCAATAAGTTCAATAAGTAAAACATCAATGAGTTAAGCTTCCAGCCTTGGATTTTGACCAAAATGTTTCTGTGCCGCTTCAGCCTTTCTTGCAGGATGGTGGGGATTTTCTTACACGCTTTCAGCACAGAAATCCACTATTCAGGTTTTTTTTTATCCAGCTCTTTGGTATCTTTCCTTACATCATTTACTCTTTACTGTTTATAAATAGAGACAAGACTGAAAAAGTAAAAAAATAATTATCAAAGTTATTAAATAAATAACTACACAAAAACTAGTTATCAAAAATTAGTTATCAATAGTTATCAATTGTATATCCAAAGTTATCAAATGGTTTCATAACTACCAACAGTTATCAAAAAATTGTTATCTGCAGTTCTGAGAAAGGTCCTGCTTTGCAAACAAGAACCTCCCTCCCCGGTAATTGCCAATGCATGATGAAGTCCTAAGGCTGTGGCTCATGGTTAACTTAAGGCTGGCCTCAGGTTGATCCCAGTTTTAGTATAGATTTCTACTTTCAATATGATGTAGGAAAAATAAGAGCAATTATTCAAGAAATTAAATTTGAATGTCCTGTTTCATCCCTCTCACAAATATTGACACCAATTTCGTGGCCCATAAAACTAGCCAAACTATTTCAAAATATACTTAACTAACTGAACATTCTATTATGAATATAACAAAGAGAGTTTTTTGTGGTTTTTTTTGTTTTGTTTTGTTTTGGTTTTTTTTTGTTTCCTGAGCAGTCCTTGAAAAGTTACCTTTCTTCATCACCTGCTAAAAAGCTTCTGGCAGCTCAGTGTCTTACAGATTACTGGTTTTAGAATTATTCCTCATGTACTTGTAAGGGTTGTCAGAAGAAGATTTTGACCCTTGCTATACCATTAAAGATAATTAGTCAATTCTGAGCAGCAGCAGCTATAGGTTGTCTGTTTTTCAACCCTATGAATGTCTGGCATTGGATGAGATTCACCCATAACATTCAGACTGTCATTTTCTATGTCATTATACTTTACTTACACTAGTAGTTTCTTAGAAATAATATTAAATAAAATTCTCTGAAAATGTGATTAAAAAGCAATGCTTCTCAGGAATTTTTGGGGAAAATAAAAACCAAAACAACCCTAAATCAAAAAATCACACCACCCTAAAACACAAAGCTTTCTCTTCCTCCTCAAAGAGTTTGAAGCCTATGCTCAAGTATGAATTCTGGTAAAACAGACATTTATTTCATCCTATTGCTATTTCATGTGAAGTGCACAAGTAGAACTAGAACCCCAAGAACTCCCTGCTATCTCAGCTGATTCAGAACCTGGATTGTTGTCCCCTGTGAACACTTTATGGGCAAACTGAAGCTGAAGTACTGGTAGGAAGGGTGATGGCTGGTATTGAAGGACACCTTCCTTCCAGCATGGGCATTAACCTGATTTGAAAACTCCCTCACCATGAGGGAGATTAAGCTTGAATTCCCTCAAGAAGAGGAAAAGCTTGTCCTCTGACATCCAGCTCCAATTTCCAGGCAGGTAAATAAACAGAGTAAAGGTAAACACAAGTCTGTCAATGCTGATGCCATGTTAGCTACATAAACTGATTTTTCAGAAGCTATTTGAGAGCATCTTTTGAGATTTAGGCATATTTGCAAAGTGTGAGAAATATGCAGGTCTGGCATTGGACTGCTTAAATTCTATCAAGTTCCTCAAAAAAGCAGCTCGAGAACTTGAGGAGTTTTCATGGTGTGACCCTTAAAAAAACCTTGCAGGTTACATATGGATATACACATTTATATGCAAAATAAGAAAACCACAAGTCTGTACTTAATATGAGTTTCAGCCCTTCTACAGCCTCTCTTCCTCAGTTGTTTTTGATTTTACAAGATACATACATGGCACTGAACAAAAGCTTTTATCTCAAAAGAAAAAAAAAATCTTTAACCAGACTTCTATTTCATTACATGGTATTTGTGCTCCCAAATTATTAGCACACTGAACAAATCCAGAAAAATTAGCTGATGTAAAGTCATTATGATACGGTTCCTGCATTTAGTGGCTGAGAAACTTCTGTAACTATAAACAGAAATGCACCAAAGCAGAATAAAAATATGCAAGCATAAATATTTCAAGCTTGCTTGCTGGTCTCCTCTGTCCATCATCCCTTCTTATCCATCAAATATCAGCAGAATTCATCTCCTTTTCAGGGATTCTACTGCTCTCTAGGAGATGCTACTTAACTCCAAGGTGCCAGTCACTGGACTTGTATCTGATAAATAAAAACTCCACAGGCTTCAGAGAGCTCTCTGAATAAAAACAGGTCTTTCCCTATGGAAGAAAATATGCAGGATTATTACTCTGAACTATTTTAAAGATTTGGCTAGATACTGATTAAAGCCTCTTGAAACAATTTTTTTTTGTATAGTAGACAAAAACATTTGATCAATTTATATAGAAATAGAGATTTCAAAATCAAGATTAAATATTTCCCCATCATTCAGTTCTTTTTCTGCATTGTATTTCAAGAGACAAATTATGTATTTTTCAGCTTGATCTGAAAATATCCAAAATGAGATATTTTCTACAATTGAATAAAAGGCAAATGAGATTTCACATTGAATGTTTTGCCAAAATCAATGAAAACTACACCAACGATTTTGTCTTTCAGGATCACTTAGTTTGTGTCATTAGCAATCCTTAAAAGAATGGATTTTGTGTAGCACACTGGCTGTGATCCATATAGTGGAAGAATAGGAATTGAAAATAGCTCTCTATTTAAGAATGCATTAAATTGATTGCAGCCAAGTTCCTTGATCTTTTGGGCACAGGACTGCAATTATAAAAAATTAAATTAGCTAATTAATACATTGGTAGTTTAAATTATGCCCTTCCATAAAGCAGTTGAGACCTCATGGAAGGCAGACAAGTGTTCCCTGTACTCATGGTTTTGAAGATAAACATCTCAATTTCTGGAACAAAGAAAGAGAGTAAAAGCTTGTATCTAAGCCCTGATATCAACACCCTGAGAAGGAATCTCCTGCATCAATGTACTGAGCTTCTAAAACCCCTAAAGTTAGTACAGAGAGATCTTAACATAGAAGGGGATCTGGACCTAGAGGAAGGATGCAAATACACAGAAATATCCAATAAATAAAATGTTCTAGAAGATCTGACATGCTATTCAGCCATGCAATGCTTACAATCTTCAGCAGAGATACCAAAGAAGCCATTTCTCCTCGAAAATTATGAATAAAGGTTAAACAAGGAAAATACAGATCCTATTCAACCTTAGGATCCAGTGGGACACTGGAAAGGTGAATATCACACAAAATAAAAGGGTGACTATTGGGTTTTTTTGTATAGCAATTATGAATTATTATTAATATCATAATGCTTTTATTAATTTGGCCTATTAGATCAAATAATGCATAATTATTATTGGACTAATTGTTTAGACTATTAAACTGTTAAAATATTAATTTCCTCATACAATTTTTGATTTATTGGGTGAGGCGAGTTTTGTCACCAAACTCTTTTGTGCTGTAATTTAACATTCACCAATAGTCTAGGTAATCAGAATAAATTTGCCTTAATTTCTGCTACTATTACAATTGTTTGACAATTGTCAGCATGACAAAGAAAATGGATATATTTATTGCTGATTTCAAATCTTTATTAGTCAACTTCTGTTTTTTGGAGGGAGGCTTGTTTGATTTCATTCTTAGAAATCTTAAAGAGAGGAACAAAGAGGGGAAATAGTTACCTGAATTGTACTGAAATAAACTTGGTTTGCTCCATCTAAGTAGGTCTTTCATTTATCTTCTACCTGAAACAAATGCATCCATTTGGCTTGCTGCTCACCAGTGCTATTAATACAGCATGAACAAGAACTGCAGGATAAGATTTGATTGTTTTCTTCTGCTTGTGGACTGACAGCAGACCAAAGCTACACATACATAAAATACTTTACAATAGAGTGGCTTTAAAATTTAATAAGACACAGTGAATAGACTGAATACATTATTGAACACATATAGCCACCCAGGATACAGTGCACATTGTTAGGAAGGTGACAGAGAGGTAGGGAAAAGAAAGAGTTAAAGAAGGGTAGCAATACCAGTTAGGACAGGCAGAGGTATGACCATATCTTCATCTCTGACTTAAGAAATTTAAGGCTATAATGAAGAAAAAGTATTAAGCTCAGTCTGGAAGCTCTTCAGTCAGCAGAAAATACAACCTCCCCAGGCAAAAATCTGAAGAAGATATTGACTCTATGTTGTCTACACACATACAAACACACACATTTTATGTTTCACTATATAGGAAACTGGCATCATCCTCCAAAGTGCCAAGTTAGACATCACTTCCAGAATTAAAAATATCTTTCTGCCTATGAAGCATAGGGCCAATGATGTGGAGAACACCAGCAAAAATTAGTCATTGACTTTGTACTGTCGTTATGTGGACAGGCTAGTTAGTGATATTGCTTCTAGCAAATGGTTCATCAAGATTTACTAGCAAATGGAAGAAGGGGTGATGATAAGCTTTTATTTAAATTTCTATAAAAAGCTCTCTTTAGAAACAGTTTATTTAAATTCCTCACAACAGGGCTGTGGAGCACTACAGGAGGTATTACATAGAAAGCACTGCATCTGTACTTGGCAATTCAGAGTACTGACAAAGTGGCAACAGCAGGAATACCTCATTTATGCCATTTTCCTTAACCAAATTGTCTTCCTCAACACTAATCTCTGTCAAGTACTTCACATATTTAAAGAAAGGGCTGATAGAAGAAAAATATTTCAAGTAAATTTCTTCTTTGAAGCAGGGTTCCAAAACAGCATTAAAAAGCCCTGAAGAACAAGGCCCCTTCAAGATCCAGGTTTTTAATGCTCTTTACTGAAGAACACTGTCAGGTGAGAATATCACATTTCATAAAACAAGATACCCACCAGTTCCAATAGATCCAGGTTGCTACACTTGTAAGTAGTGCAACAACAGCAAATCAGTTGGGAACACCTGGAATTACTGGGCTAGTTCCCTAAGAATACTTGAATTCAAGATTTCTAAAGCTAAAAGAAACCAACAGATGGGTTAGCCTGACTCAGTGAAATATGAATTTACTTCCTGTAGGTGTCCCCCCAACCCTGCCCCCCAACAAGTTAGCCAGTAAAAATATTTCAAGGTAAGTAAATACTGGAGAATGTGTGCTGGAAGCTAATTTTGAGCTTACAACACTCAAGGGTTTCATTTAAGGCCCAATAATCTGTTTTTAATACAAAAATATAGCCAAAAGTGGAAATTTTGTTTGCAATGAAATCTGATATTAAAAAAAAAAATAGTAGACATAATCAATACTTAGTAAACTACCTGTGTTCTTAATAAATCAACTGGAAGCCAAGAATTTATCAGCAAAATTTCTTATTAAATGATTTTACAAAATGTTCAAAATCAAGACAGTTTTCTACTCTTCATAGATAACCCATTAAGGGTAAAATAAAATAAATTGGTTGCATGAATTATTCATCCCAACTGTTTACACAGTTCTAGTCAAACAGTGATTCTGCTCTAGTATTTTTTTCATTCACAAGCAGTTCAAAGAACAATCTGTCCTCTCAGAAACCAGTAAATTTTAAACTATTCAATTTCTGATTAACAAAATGTCTATGGCCATTGAAATGCATGCACAGACATAGCATTTGCAGAACATGATAATAACAAATTACCATGATTTAAATGTCCAACAATGTCCAAATTTAAAAACAATGTCCAAATTTAGCTTCCAAACTTATTGTTTCTTTAACTGGACACATTTGGTTTAGGAGTAAGTAATTTCACTGATCTTCACAGGACTTTTAAAGCTGTATGGTTACGTGTGCACTACAAACATACATGCTATGAGATGTGCAAAGCCAACAGCTGTGCTAACATCTGAGTTTCCCCCTCATCCTCACTAAAAACCTCTCTCCTAGTAACTGCACTAATCCTTCAACTCTAAAAATTATGATTTGCTTTCCAATCTTTCAGAAATTTCTAAAAAGACAATAACTCTTATTAGAAAATTATCTCACTCATGCTGTGTGGACAAACTTTCTTATATCTAGCCTTTGAAATAACAGGAAAATTAACATTAACTTTGAAAATTTTACCATGAAGAGAAAAGTTTGGTTTGGATCCAGGATTGTAGTGTAGAACAGATCTTCCTCATCCCACAATTACCCAAATAACATCTAAGTTTCAAACAGCTGTTTGTTTAATACTCATATCAGCACATATTTTTATTTATTTTATTTTTAAATTTTGGACTAAGGTTAAAAAAAAAAAAAAGTGTTTGTAACCAAGTATTATACCCTTACAAAGGCAATTAATAATATCATTGTTTCTTATATTTATTGAAAATACCCACAAATGGTAAAATTTGTTGGAACCATTTTCCACAGACACATTGTTTGGATTAATTGAAGCTGTTGTTTTCCTACCATAAGTCATCAGCAAATTGATTTACTTTACACAGTGAGGTCCATTCCAGGCCTGAGGCATTGGTGCTTTATGGAAAAGCAACTGGGCAGAATTGGACATGATATTTCTCTTTCAGGCAGATTTTAGAACATTACCTGCATATAAAATTGTTCCGAGTCTTTTTCTGATGTCCTGAAGAATAAAAATTTCCTAGTGGCAGGTAAAAGCGGATGAAAGGCAGAGATTCACAATAAAACTACTCACCAATTATAAAACTACTACTAAAAAAAATAAAACTACTCATACAATTTATAACTTCTTAAGTACAATGTTTTAAAAATGTTTTTTGGGTCATTATATCGGTTTTTTAATATATAGCCCCTCATACACTCCATGACAAACAAGCCTCACGTCCACAGAATTTAGAGAGGAAGGCAAAGGTCACATATCCATTTTCTCAGGTATTTGCTTGCTAATAGATTGAATTCAAGCAATAAAGGGGCTATTATTGACTTGTTTGTGAGTTACAGCTAAGGAAATGCAAAAATATGAGTATTTCTCTTGAAGAGAGCCACGGTAAGAAGGGGATTGTGCTACAAACACCTTGTTGAGAGCATCAATAAGTGAGAGCAAATATACCAGAATCCTACTACAAATTCCTTGGCAGCCTGCCACGCAAGCAGCCAGTTCTGATGGCTGCAAGGAATGAAGTTGAGAAGCAAGCAAACAAAAGAGTCTGGACAGGAGCCAGAGGAGGCATAAGGGGTACATAAGAGAAAGCCACTTCACAGCTGGAAATTGCAAAGGCAGAGTGCTTGGAACAGGGGGAAAGCCAGGGTCCAGGCACAGCTTTATCTTCCTCTGGCATTTCACCATGCCCCAGGAAGTCAGCAGATCTGATTTTCAGGTGTGGCCAAGCTGACAATGCAGCTGTAACACATGACCAGCAGACAAAATCTTCTCTTGCAGCAAATAATAGCCTGAGTGATAGCTGAGAGCTGCTCTGCCAGCTCAGGGATTGGGAGCCAGGGGCTGGTTCTGCTCTTTGGACACAAAACCACTCCTGAAGTTGAAATGTGCCCCTTGCAACTGGTGCACACTGTGTTAGGGTTCTGAAGTAGGGGAATATGATAGTGGATGCTGAAGTGCAAAATCACATCAGCTCAGGACTCCCAGGAAAACCTCCCAGAAGATGCTGTTATCACACTGAGTGATTTTTCTGTCAGGCTGGAGTAGAATGCTTAGGCACTACTTCTCTAGGTGACAATGTCCTTAAGTGGTGATGAAGTTGCTTCAGTGTACAAAAATACACCCAAAAACTGTGACTATGTGGACCTCAACAGTCACTTAAATATTTACTGCAGGAAAACACATTTGTGCAATAACAGTATCAGGATGTTTATGTCACAACAAAGGCCTGGAAGTGGGAAAAAAAACCCACAAAAAGTCCAAGGTGTCCAGCATCAACCCCAACTTCTCTGCTTATCAGATATTTTCTACCATGTTCTACAATTCTGAACACACTCTGTAGAGAAAAAAGAAGAGAAAATATTTATGATTTTGGAAAAGTGATTGCTGAAACTTCTGCCACACTACTCTGGGTTCATGATTTTCCCTCAGTATCAGCAAAGTGCTGTTACTGTAGTTTTTCCCTTTTAACCTGAGGGGAAAAGAAAAAGAAAGAAAAAAAAAAGAAAAAAGCTTATTATTAACAATATTAACATTTAAGTAATGCAAATTAACTTTGCAGTTTTGCATATAAAAAGATGTAATTAGGGCCTTTTCCTCATTCAACAGATGCTGGTTGGAGACTTATTTTTGACGCCAGGGTCAGTAGGGTAACAGCACTTCCTGCACAGAAATAGTTGAATCTCCAGAATGGGGCAGGGAAGAGTAATAACTTGATTTCTCAAGTCTTTTCCCTCTAGATAGGATGCATTTGGCTTCAAAGAAATCATACTGATGTAAAATTAGCACAAGTGAGAACAAAAAAAGTGGCACTTCTATCTGGAAGATTGCAAATTATTATATTACTCAAGAAATCCCAGAGACATTATAATAATGGGATCCACCATGAATTACCCAGCAATTCCTTTTATCTTCTATTAAGGCAATTAGGGAGGGAGAGAGGGAGAGAGAGAGAGAGAGAGAGAAAGAGATCTGTTCTTGTTTTAGAACTCAACAGGCTGCAAGTCCCTGCACAGACGCTGAAGCAGTCCTGAAGGAACAATGATTTCATTCCTCCAACGACCAAGCCAGTGTAAGCAAGCCAAATAGAGAAATAAATTACGTGGTCTGGAAAAGCATTAATGTGCATTGATTCCTCTTTTCTCATTAAAGGAGATGGAGGGGGAGGAGAAGGACTGAAGTGTAATTGAAATTTGAGATGAAAAAGTTTGCCTGCATATTTGCTCAGGAAGACAACCCAAGGTACACCTGACCCCTTCTGAGCTGTGGCACAGCCACAGTAAAATGCAAACATTTCCTGACTTAGCTCTTTGAACAGAACAAAGCACAGACATTAATAACTTAAATGAACATCACATATTCAGAGCATGATTTAACTGCAGCAGGTATGTTACACAGAAAAGTAGTTGCTTTTAGAAAGGTGAATTTAATTCAATACCTGCTGATTACCGTCAAGAGTAGTCCCATACATTTTTGGGGTTTATTTCACTACTACTGCCTGAGAGTGTCTGAAGTAATTCTGACTAAACAGGTTCACAATCATTGACCTATGCATGGCATACCATGTATGCCCCTATAAACAATTCCATTTTGTGTTTCCTGTTTTAAATTTTGCTGTCCTTTAAATCTACAAGCAAGTAGGAATTGTGAATTCTTAATCAAATCTTTAATCTATAAAAATTTAAAATTGAAAAGCCTTTAAAAATAAAACAAAATTAATTTTCCTTTTTGTACTGGTGCTGCCTGTTGTTGCCATATTCATTGCTATGTGATTGACCTACACACTTACTCCTAGACGTCATGAACAATAATGCCAGAGACACCAGACCAGGGTTCAGAGCATGGTTTTGGATTGTTCAAATTCCCATTCCTTTAGATTATGGAAGGAATCATGCTGTACCTCTGGGAAACATATTTTTATTCTTTGTGCTGCACAAATGTAACATAGCTGTAAACTGGAAGAGCTTTGGAACACCACACAAAAAATGTGTCATGATGAATAGGGGAAGGGAAGGGAAGAGAAGGGAAGGGAAGGGAAGGGAAGGGAAGGGAAGGGAAGGGAAGCTGTTATTCATGAGGCAGATTAGCCTGTATGTCAGATTAAGCCTTTTTTTTCCTTCTACCTTGGTTCTCATCAGATCTGATAAATGGTATGGGAACCTAAGAAATAAATGGTTTCAGCATTGCAGATTATTGTTTTAGGTTTAAGAGACAAACTTTGTACTTCCCTGCATGAGCTTAAAAAGTCATATTTTGCCCCTTCTAGGCAAAAACCTAGGGATAAGAGAATAATGGCTGTAATGAACACAAGATTTAAGCACTCTCCTCTCAGCAGTTTTGGGAACAATTCTCACCTCTGCAGCTCTAGTAAATGGTGCAAAATTTAGGAGGCTGAGGCATCCCCTAATACACAACAGGCCCTTTTTTATCCTGCAAAATCTGTCAGAGCTTGAGGCAGAAATCATCTGGTTTGTCTTCTTAAAAGTACCACATGTAACAGGTAGTAAGAAAGGTTCTACAAGCAGTGTTAATTAACTGGAGGCTGAAACAATAAAAAATGCATGTCTAAATAGATAAGACAATTTTTCCAGATTGTGAACTCCAGCTCACATTTTGAGACTGAATGCCTGACACTTTTCCTTCCAAATTGTTAATCGCACCACTGGAATGCAATTAGCCACAATTCTGCCATGCACATGAAGGGGCTTCTGCACAATGGGCTACCATAATTTGATTCTGAGGTTTCTGAGGGAAAGGAGGAATCAAACTCTTCCTTAGAAACTAGTTTATTTTTTTTTTTTTTTTGAAAGGGAATATTTCTGAAGTTTCGTAAGGGTCGTAGGTCTTCTACTTAAATATATTGTTTAAAACAGAATTAATGTTCTAAGCAAGGAAATTTACCTTCACCACTGAGCTGGTTTCAGCTGGGGGGTTAAACCACGACACCCACATCACAGGTCCTGCAAAGTAGAATTCAGAAGGTCAGACTTTCATCCTGCAATAGATCTTTCCTTTCATAAGTTCATCAAAGAATATTTTCTTTTTTCTTTTTTTTCCTCCCTGAAACTAGATTTAAGGTTTCTATACAATGTATTGTAGTGTTCCCATTCTTCAGAGATTTTTTAAAGAACTAGATAGGTTTTGGCCAAAACTCCATTTGTCAGAGGCAGCAGGCTCTATTACTTACTAGATATAAGACATTTAATTAGTGTCTTAAAAGAATTATGAGCAACTCAACTCAAGCTGAATAGAGCACTTCCATTTCTATATATAATAGGCCCCAAACTGATGTAGAGTATGGATTAATCCTTCTCACTATATAAAGAATTGTATTTTTTTCTTTGTGTTTTTATACAGTCTTAATAACTTGGCCATCATGCACATGCACACAAAATACTTAAATAGATGTTTAATGGCTAATTCCTTTCCTAACCAAAGTAATAAAGTTATGATGAATACACTGATTTGAACTTGTTCCATTCTCTAATTTGCTCATCTGAAAGAGACTGAATCATATTCAAAATCCAGTGCTGAAATCTTTATTATTTATTTCAAAGACATCGCTTACTTTGGAGTTGGCCACTTCTACAAAGTGTATGAGATTAACTTCTCCTGACTCTGTGAAAGTCATGGTTGGAAATTCAGACAAAATTTCTACAACAGAACCAGATTATTTCAGGGACTCGGAAATAAAGGAAGTGGGAGTGCTTGCGGAGTTTGCTAAAGACTTTAGGAGATATTTTGCAAAATTCATCTGCCCACAGCTACAGACATTCTCTATTAGCCACTTATAACAAATACCCCACCTTTTCTCCTGATGATCCAGCAGGATCAGACTCCAAGACTTGCAGCAAGTCCCTGGTACTTCTGTTCCCAGTCTGCGTCCTCAAGCAATGAAAATAAAATTTGAGCCTTTCCAGCCTGTTTGTTCTTGATCCAGCCTGATTCTTGTTAAATTCTTTGTCTTAGAAATTCTCTTGATCACTGTTAGTGTTTGTCAGAGCCTAGTCATGCTGGCCTCCATTGTAGTTTTGTGGTTTGCCACCACTCTCCCAGAATTCTCATATATTTAAAGATCAGTGACATTTTTACTTTCTGGTGTCTTCTCATGGAAGCCATGTGTGTTTGTTAAAAACACATGCATACAAAACATCCCCTTAGAATAGGCTACCTAAAGTTATGAGACATTATATTAAATATGGTATAGGCTTATCAAGCTTATTTGGAAAAGTTTATCTCAAAATATTCACGGTCCAACAGAAGTCTGAGGATTACAGAATGGTGCTATTTATAGAACAACAGATTAAACTGCAGGAATGAGAAAAACCCTATCAGATTTTGCATATCTGCCATAGCTGGATTAATCCTAAAACTATGTTCTTTGTTTCACTTAAATACTCACCATTATTTGTGTTTTAATGCTCTTGTACTTGGAAGTTTCATATATTGCTTCCTGTTAGATAGTTTAGCTACATTTACATTCCTTTTTTTTTTTTTTTTTTTTTTTTTTTTTTTTTTTTTTTTTTTTTTTTTTTTTTTTTTTTTTTTTTTTTTTGAGAGCTATATAAATTGCAAGACATACATTGTATAATAAGAATAATTTGGAGGAGGGTGTATTTAAATATTTACTTAGCAGTCTTGATAAATATGTGATAAGAGTAAAAGCTAACAGAGGAACACCTACTTAATAAAAATGGAAAATACAATCTGGTATTTATCAATAACTGAAATACTACAGAGTCCTACAGTTTTTCCTCAATGTCTTTGAGGAATATAAGAACACTGACATGTGACTTGTATAAGACATAAATCAAGCAAGACAGAAAATGGAGAAGATACTTTACCTATAATTCTTATGTAAAAAGCAGCTCTCCAAAATGCATGGAGTTCATTTTATATCACACTTTCTTTATATTAAGAGAGCTTGGATGATGTGAGGGTCACTTGCATTAATGAGCCAAACACAGAGAAACTTCAATCTCAGTTCCTTCATAAATTGTTCCCTGGGAGTCAGCTATAGTGATTTAAGAAAATGAGCAAAGAAAAGGTAATAAGGTAACATATGGATTGCTTTTTTATCTTTTTTTTCCTATTCTAACACTGCTGTATGTATTACCTATAGAAATACATTAGACTCACACTGACTTTTTTCAAATGAAAGACAGGTTTTGCAGCTGACACATAAAAAAAAAAAGAGCAAAGAAAGCAAGCAGAACTTTCTCTGTGGAGTTTTATTTGATTTCGGATATAGTTATTCTCTTTCAACTAATACAATCCAAACATGTTGATCTTTAAAAGTAGAAAAAAGTAGACTATAAAAACCTGTCTTTTATGGTCACAAGGCAAAATCTATGACAGCACTTACAATCCTCCTTACTGAAGAAAAAAGGATCATTTCCCACTGTTCTGTTTATCCTACTTTGTTTCACCAGTATTGGCAATAATTTTACAGTAAGACATATATTTGAAACATAATTCTGTACAAAATGCAGTATATCCACAGTATCCATATTTGCTTTTCCTATATACCCATATTTTTCTTATGTAAAATAACCCTCAGACCCCCACATATGTATTTCCAACAATGCTCTCTTAAAAGCTGCAGGTTTTTGTTGCTGTGTTTCCCAAAAACATTCTAACTATGGCTTTGAGCTGGATCTTAGGAACAGTAATTTGATTACACCTGATTTTCTACAGGTTGTGCAGATTGTTATACAGGTTGTGAAATCTGTATATTTTCAGTTACTAAACAGAATCCTCTTCTAGTAAGGCATGAGTGGGTGCATTGTAAGGTGCAGTAGAACTTTGATGACATAGATGGATGGTAGTAATAAACTGAATTTTGACTGGTATTATAGAACTCTGCAATTTTACAATATTCCACCTTGGCATCTCAAGGCACTTCTCCAAATATCAACTTTGCTTCATAATGTTTCTGTTTTGAATCAAGGAAGCATCATCATGAATAACATTTTACAGGCAAAGAAACTGACAGATTAAAATAATCCAATCCCTAAAAAATTCAGAGCTTTTGATTTGGTCACTATGGCTTAGACATGACCAGGTAAGGACCAGAACTTCCTTACCTGTGTCATCCTGGCTTAGAACCTTAATTTTTATATACCAACATAATGATATGTTAACCATCATGAATTAAATGGTGTTTAGCTGCAATAGAGGACATTTCCCCAAAGATATAAAGCCACATCTATTTCCATTGTTAATATTTCAGAAATAGAAAAGTTTCCCTTGTTAGGTTAAGAAATGATCAACATTTGACTTGATCTATTTGTGAATTTTATATATGCATTCAAACTTGCACAGACAGCAAGGACCCATTAGCTAGAAAACACAATGAACCCAGCAAGTTTGAATTAAAAATCATTTATTGCCATTGTACAGAGGCAAGGTCAAAGAGAATTGCTATTTTAGGCAGCCTCCAGGTTTCTTGCAGACAAAGGTGTATATCTGCATAACCTTGTCCTTGTCATCTGCATAACCTTCAGACCTGAGGTGTTTAAGTTTAAATGAATTGGAATAGATAAATGAAACATATGTTTAGCATTCCTTAACCTTCACCATGCCACAGGACCAGCTGCAGTACCATAATTCAGTTGACCGCAAGCATTTTTGCCTAATTTATCTTCATATACTTACATTCATACAAAAAAATCAGTACCAAGGGCTTTTAGACAACTAAATATACATTCTTTCAGTCTAGGTATCCTGTTCCAACACATTGCTAAAAAAACAATACTATCAGAGCATGGGCAATACGGTGAGTGGAAATAAATGCTTGTTATTGTGACTTCTTTTTTTTTTTTTTTTTTTTTTTTTTTTTTTTTTTTTTTTTTTTTTTTTTTTTTGCTTATTTTGAATGGGGAAGTGTTAATAACAAATTGTGTTTCTTAGGAATATATACCTGTCTGCAAAGTCTTAGAGGCAAAACTCCAGACCTAAACTTCACCATTGCTACCATAGCTTTGGGACTCCTCTTTAAGCCCACTTTCTCCCTTTCAGGAAACAACTAGGCCTCTTTTCTGAGTATACAAAAACAGATCCATATTGATTTTGCATAATTTTTCCCCGCCTCTCCACATCCCCATTATGCTGGATGAAAATTGGTTATGTTTTAATTAGCTGGTAATCTACTAATCAAATTAATTTTCAAAATAATGTTTTCAGTTGCTCAGATATTCTGAGTTGTCTCCAAATTGCAGTTTGGGTAGAAACCAACTCTATGACTCGTGACTGCATTAAACGAACTTTCCATCTTTTTTTTCTTTTTTTTCCCTTTTTCTTCTTGAATGAAGCAATGGTATACTCTTGCAAATACTAATTACTGAGTTTGTCACCTTGTCTTCTAATGCTTTAAAATCAGTATAATATTTTAGAATTCAGTTGCTGAAAAGATTGACTTGGACAGAAGGTAAAGAAGACACAAGACACATCAACTCAAACAGTGTCATGATGGATTAATCAACGAATGGAACCAGTCTTTCTCCTCTATGACATAGGAAAAGTTAAAATTCCCATGCAGCAGGCTGAGGAATGAATTCTGCCTGCTGCAATCTACTACTGAGTATCATCCAGGTGTTTGCTCAACACATCAGACAGTTTCAAAAATAATACACTTTAACAACATCTATTACACTAGTCCCTTTGCTGAGATGATATGTGCTGTGCTAAGCCCTTATCTACAGCCTAGGAGATGCCTTCTCCTGCCAAAACCCAGCAACTTTCAAACAGAGATGAAAGGAAGATATTATTGTGTTTTGTTCCTTAAGCTGCTACAATGCAAAGAAAAATTAGAGTATTTGTTTCCTTCCTGTAAAATTATATATATGTGTGTGTGTGTATCTGTCACTCTTACAGAAAGTGATAGATTGTTCCTAAAAATAGATCATAAATTGAACACTGCACTTCAGCCTGCATAGCTTAAATTCAGCTAAGCTATTCTTTCCTGAAAATCAAGCCCATTGTTTTTCTCCTTCACAAATGCCAATCCACACTCCAACCTTTTTTGTAGAACAACATCTGGTGCACAAAATTGAATATAGATCAGCAGATCCAAATATGTTCAGCCCAAGTTGCAGGGAAATTTTTTCAAACAGCAACTCTAATTTATAAAATTAAGAAAGAAAATTGCTATTACAACTAGAAAAGTCTTTATCTCTCTCCTTATCAAGTACTTTTTCCTTTTAAAGAACACTATTTTTCTTAAATCCAATACAGTTTCATAGGTAGTATTAGGTAATTTTTTTAAAGATAATTCTCCAATTTGCATTGATTAACTGCATTTTCAAATCATCTAATCTAAACTTTAGGAAACAGGTGATATCTATAATATTAAGAAAAAATGGATGTTACTATAGTGCAAATATTTTTGGCATTTAATCAAAATCTCCATTTAAATTTTTTCTTATGTAAGGAAGAAGTTATAGACAATCAATATTTTTCAAGTGTCATTGTATAAAAGTACAAAATTCCTCTGAGTATTATTCTTTCCTTCTCCTTTCTTATTTTTCATCCTCTTTTGCTTTCACTTCTTAGTGTAAAATTATAAAATATCTAAAAAATGTATTAATAAATAGAAAATAAAGAAATCATGTAAATATTAAAAAATAAACATGCACTACTTGCAAATTATTCTGTATTCTGAATATTCTGCAACCTGAAATTCACACAAAAAAAAAAAAATGGTAGGGATTGAGTACTGCTTCCTTTTCCTTTTGTGATCAGAACTGAGGATATCACACTGTTCTCTTGGAATCTGTATAAACCAAATTACCAAATTAAATAATCATGTTCCTTACAGAGCCTATTTTTCTCCTTAGAGGAAACTCCCAACTCATGCTGAAAACAGTAAAAATGAACCTGGTCCTAATTTAACGAGCAATCTATTTTCAAATTAATTTTTTAACAGCCACTTCCTACTCTATATGTATTTATATTACTGATTGATATAATTCTGAAATCTCTTGTAATAATTTACTGGATCTACCTATGCAGCATCTCTACTAAATAGGAAAGCATTATCCCCATGACACATTTAAAACAGCATCAGTGACTTTATGCTGCAGATGGAAGTATTATGGATTCAAAAGTATCTCCTGCTTTTATAACAAGGAGATGGTGGGAAGGGAGAAGTAAATTAGGCTCCCTACCAACCTAATGCAATGGTGAGCTGCTCTGGAGATCATTTCAGCTGCCCAAGTAATGCGTTTCCTATTCCGAAGATTGTGAGGGAGAATGAGAGACTTCTGTGTCAGATCTGTTAATGTTCACAGTGCCAAGGAGACCGACTTGCAGCTTCTCAGCAGAGCCCAAAACATGGGCTGGCAGGAACAAGCTCACCTGCAAGCACTGCTGTTCTCAAATGTTCTTCATAGCCCTGCCCACTTTGTTAGGAATGACATCTGCCCATGGACCTATCTGACTTTCTAAATGATCACTCTGCAGCTTGCATGCTCATAATTGCAGCTTGTTATAAGAGCAGAGCTGGGAATGGAATAGAGTTTTCCTGCAGTGCTTGGTTAAATCAATTTCTATCTGTGTTTTCAAGTGTTTACTGCCTTTAACTGCTGTTTGATCCTGTCCTTTCTGACTTTTCTATGCCTGCTCCAGTTTAGGTGTCCTGAAATTTTGATTTAGATATGTCATTTATACCATACTATCAAAATGCCATGGTTTAACCCCAGCCTGCAAAAAAGTACCTGGCAGCCACTTGCTCACTCCCCACCAGTGGGATTAGAGAGAGAATCTGAAGGGTAAAAGATTGAAAACCTGAGAGTTGAGACAAAGAGAGTTTAATAGGCAAAGCAATGCACACAAGCAAAGCAAAAAAAGGAATTCACTCACCACTTCCCATGGTTGTGCAGGTGTTCAGCCATCTCCAGGAGATCAAGGCCCCATCACACACAGCTGTGGCTTGGGAAGACAAATGGCATCACTCCAAATGTCCCCCATTTCCTCTTCTTCCCCTCACTTTATACAGTGAGCAGATGTCATGTGGTCTGGAATATCCCTTTGGGAAGTTTAGGTCACCTGTCCTGGCTGTGTCTCCTCCCAAAATCCCACACACCCCCAGCCTCCCTACCAGCGTGCCAGTATGAAAGGCAGAAAAGACCTTGGCTCTGTGCAAGCTCTGCTCAGCAACAGCAAAACCATCTCTATATTATCTACTCTGTGCTCAGCACAAATCCAAAACACAGCCCCATACCAGTTGGTGAAGAAATCTAACCCCAGCCAAACCCAGCACACATAAAAAGAAGTTTTTCACTGAATGAAAAACTAATCCACCAGCACTGAAATACTGGGTACTGAAAGTATTTTTCTTCTCTGAGCTTACTAGATATGTCTCTACAGACCCTATGAGTGAACTGGACTGTGTTATAGTCTGGCAGAAAGAACTACTATCCAAAGATCAGCACATCCTTCATCAGTGATAGAAAAAGCTCAAGACCTCTCTAAATGTGCTCAGTGAAGCAAAGCTGGGAAACAAGTGCCCACGTACTTTCTAAAAAAAAAAAAAAACAAAACAAAGAAAGTAAATAAAAGATCCATGGACCTCTTTAAGTTTAGTAGTAATTTAGTCTTGATGGAAAAGAAGCTGTTTTCAAACTATATTCCTATCCTTTGCTTGTCCACTGGTCAAACTTAGCAAACACAACACTACATAAAGGAATGTGGCCTAAAGGGCTTTATTTTACATGCACAGATGTCTCTCATCTCTCTGACAGTATTTACTGAGATACATACCTGGCATCTTGTGTTCTGAAGCATCTTGTGTCTGCCAGTCCTCCTGTTAGCTTGTTGTGTGTTAGGAAATGCCTTTTGAACAGGACTGCATCCACATTCTCTTCATTAAAGAAGTAGTTGTATGACATTCCCTCCCCCAGCTGCAATTATTTAGCCATTTTCTGCCACCTCATTTTTGACATAGGGGGCCCTGCTGTCCAAATGAAATTTTAATGAAGGCTTGAGGACGTGCTCGTGCATTGTAGAGTTCCACTGCAGTCCCACAAAGAACATGAGTTGAATATTCACAGTTAGTGGGTAAGTGTTGTGTTATCACATTTTAAAAGGAACAAATGTTGGCATACAGTGAATGCTCTGCCAGTTCCACTTTGCCCAGTACTTTTGTCACTGCCCCACATGAATTTCTGAGCAATTTCTTCCTGCTGTTTCATCTGCCTAAAATGACCAGAATCCCACATGTCAAGAGAAAATTATACATCTTGAATTTTTAACCCAGCCTGCTTACTTCTGCTAACCCTGTCACCACTGCACTTGGTTTTTGGAAAGACAAAATTTCAGTATACATTATACAAATAATGCTGTTATCTTCTATTATGCAAACATTGCTGGTTTTGTTACTCACCCAGTTGTCATTCAGGGTTTTCTTTTGTTGTCAGTGCAATCTTAACTTCAACAAATCAAATTGACCCATGATCACTTTGAATTGCAACTTGAAAAAGATACAAAATCTTCAGTTTTTTGCCTGTGAGGTCCTGTGCTCCCTGTGCATACCCTAATACTGTGTAATAGTAAGCATTGCCTTAATGGACGTCTTATTTTTTTGGTCTCAACTTTTCAATCCCTTCTAGCAAGCCCTGTTTTACTCTGTGTGATCCTCCAAATTCATCAAAAGAGGCATTACACACACAGACAACTCCCACCCTGTCACACTGACCAAATTTATCTCCAGGGCTTAAAGTGCAGATGGGGTTCTCCTTCTGCAAAACCCCATCACCTCTAATCATGTCACTGAAAATTACAGCCCAAGTGGTTTGTTCAGGAGTACTCAACTGAAGCCATATGGAAACTTTAATTCTAGCTTTTATTAATTTTTGAGAACTTAATTAAGTTTGTATCAAAATCTTTCATCAGCCTCAAAAAGTTTTACCATGTCAAAAATAATGTATTGGTTTGCCCTCATAGCTGAGATTTTTGTGATGAAAAAGTTCCATAAAACTTGAAATAAAGCAAAAATATGACATACATCAGCCCCAAAGGGTTGAAGATTGGCAAAGACAGTATTTTATATAGGAAATCCTTGATGGTCTTATATGTGACACTATCACTTCTAATTCTCTGGTTCAGAAATCTGTTTTGATGCTGATGATATATAATTTTTGACTTTTTCATTTAATGCTACACTTCCTAAGGAAAATATTTGACAAAATTAGGGAAGTTTCAAGAACAAATGTAAAAGGCAGCTCTCCTTGCAAGAAAAGAGTTCAGCTAAATATATTCTGGGCAAGGCACAGACTACCAGCATCAATGAACTGCCTGTAGCTTTTAGGAGGAAAAATATCTCCTTTTGAAGTTATCTTTTCTATCATTACACTATTTCAGCTTGTCAATATTCACTATGACAGCAGTTTCAGCAATTTTATGTGATACCTTCAGTACAGATAAATAACAAGAGATTAACCTACATTCAGTCTGAAAAGAGGAGGAAAAAATATTTGTTAAAGAGAACTGACTTGTGACAGACCTTTTATGCTGTTTTCCAAGAGGATAAGGAATCTTATGAATTTCTATTTCTTGTGGATTATGAGTGCATAATATTTTTTTTCACTTTTGGAACTAGAAGCATTACGCAATAATCACATACTTGATACCATGCAATGAAATATGGTACCTGAGGGTAAAGCTAAACAAAATGTTCTATGATGACTTCTTTTATAGAGATTGAGACAGTCACAAATAGAATTTGTTCCCTCTAATTTTAGATTCATTAATTTTCCATAAATAGGCAAGAAAGAAATATGAAAGAATATACAGTTGTTGCCAGTCTGTTTTTAACATTTCATCTCCACCTCTCACAAAAAGTGTAATTTTACCTTAGACATGAAGCACCTTTTTTATACTTTGGGGATATTTTGTGATCCTAGAGAAGTATACTTGTGTACATCCATGTACTTCAAGTTATTAAATGAAATATTGTCTCTAATTCGTTCTTTTTTTGACAATGCTTTAAGATTAATAGAAAGCTGATCTTATTAAGTTTTCAAGGTCTCACTTTAGCTGTGTACAGCCCACTTTGTTTAATTAATGTAGCAGTGGACAGGTTGTAGTAAGGAAATGTTCTTTTTCATTCAACATGTATTTATAGATAAATTGGTAGTTTCTGATGTAAACATTAGCATTTTCTGTCCTACCTGATAATGAATCATCAAAATTCAAGCCTCTCTAACAAACAAACAAAAAATAATCCTAAATTTCTAATTCCTCTATAAATATTAACTATATTTGGTCTGGGCAATTCAAATCTTAATGATGCAAGACAACTTGCATCATCATGCAAATGTAACTCAGATTCAGTATTTCTTATTTAAAGGAATCAGTAACATCACTTTCTCCCTGTTACATCCAGTTCTTTGCTGTGATGTGACCAAGTTCTTCAGTCTTAGAACCTGAGCATTTTCATTCCAGTTCCCCTCAAAACTTTAATCCTTACCTTAACTCAAAGGGAAGCAATTTCTTCTGCAGCTTTCATCACACACTTCTATAATCACACCTAGTCATTCTTACAGAAAACAACTTCAAGTCTGGCAAGCCCTTTTCTAGGGAAACTCCTACCAAAAGGATCTGTCTTTTCTTCTCCCTAGATTCTACTTGTGCACCATTGCTTTCATTGTGAAGAAGTTTCTTCAGACAGAGTTCTACACTAAAAGTAATATTTAATCTATGGTTAAAGACAAAGCTTTGCAATGGCTTCACAGAATGGCTGACACTGGAAGGGGCTGACACTGGAGGTCACCTACCTAGTCTGTCGCTTCATTTAGAAGTTTCTCAAGTAAGTCAATTAAGAATTACTGTTGAGAACATTTCCTCTCAGGTCCTGGGATTCCCAAAGAGCAGTGTTGCCAGCAATAACTAAGAAAAATAATGCACTCAGTACTTCTCCCTACTCCATATCCTGTATAATCAGATCCCTGGTCTTATTATGTACCCACACTTTCCCTGGTCTTCTTTTCATCACCTGTGTACTTGTAGAAGCCTTTCTTACAATCCTTGATGTTCCCAACTAGCTTTATTTCCATTTGGGCTTCAGTTTTCCTAACTTCCTCCATGGATGTTTGGACAAAATTTCTGTTCTTCCCACATTATCTATCCTTACTTCTACCCTCTCTATTCTTCCTTTTTTGTTTTTCAGTTTGGCCAGAAGCAGCTTGTTTACCCACAGAGACCTCCTGGCATTTTTGCATGGCTTCTGATTCTTTGCAAGAGAATCCCTGATCTGGGAGGGAGTGATCCCTGAATACTAATGAGATTCTTGTTTCCTTCCTCCCTCCAGGGCCTTATCCCCAGGTGACTCTCGTAAGAATGTCATTTAAGGGGACAAACTCTACTCTCCTGGAGTGCAAAGCTATAAACTTGCCTTTTTCACCTTCCTCCCTGATCTAAAGCTTGATCTCTTGGCTCAACCATTTGTCACTTCACACAAAAAGAGAAAGGCATAAAGCAAGAGTTGAGTGCTCTGTGCAAGTCCAGCTTAAAGAGCTATGGTGGTGAGCAACCACTGTTAAGCGACCCATCATACAGAAAAAAAAACCCAACAAAGTGGATGTGTTATAATGTAGCTGTAAGTGCGACTAATTACAGCCTAGATTAAGCTTTAAAGAAGTCTAAATGATTTTCCAGTAGCCAATGCACTCGAGACTCTATTTTTCATCCTCTCCTTTTGAAAACTATACTTTAATCCTCCTCTTTGCATTTTTGTTTTGCAGCTCTGAGAAAGTGCCACAGTCTATCTACCACTGCTGATAGAAGTAAAGATTGTTCTGCACACCTGAGCTGAAAGCACCACTGAGCTTGGAGTGAATTTCTCTTCGGCTTCATGAGGAGAGTCCTGCTTGAGCCTCTTCTTAGGATAACAGTTTACACCTTAAATCCTCTGTGGCTCAACTTGAACACCA